TAACCCTATTATAGTCCCTTCATCTCTGTTACTTCATACTTGGAAAGGGAAGACCCAATTTTTCCGTTTCTCAAACGTGGATTAATATGTTCATGTGTATAAAAATTCATTTTTTGCTTACTAAACACATCTTAATGTCTCCAGCTTTTCTTCTTAAAATTTTGGACCCTGTTCGATTAATAACCATTTTGAAGAATTGTTAAAGTTTCTTATATTAGTTTATAACAAAAAATTAATGTAGGACTAAATTAAAAATTAAACCAAATTCATGACTAAAATTGTAATTTATCATTTTTTTAATAATCAAAGAGGCATAGGCATACGCGTAGGATAAGTAAGAGCACCTGATACTTCCCCATACTTGGAGGACCATTTTGTACTTTCACTCTTACCTCCATTTCCCAACCCAACTGCGGACCTTCCCCGTTTTTTCTCGTTCTTCTCAACCAGACAGAAAAAGCACACACATGCACCAGCACCAGCACCACTGCAAATCTTTGGCTGACCTACTCCGGTGGTGCTCTTCGCAGACCTCTCTTTCTCTCTCTCTCTATAAACGTCTTCAATGAGAACGCTTGTTCCTCCCTACTTCATTTGCAGTCTCCTTATCTGCTTCGCGGTGTTCGCTTTCATTGAATCCACCGCTGAGGTCGACTCGGCGGCTACCACCGAGATCAATGGCACAGCTAATGATTCGAACACAACGCGCCCGAGATCCAGGGAGGACAGCTTTGCCGACATGATCGATCGGGCGCTCGAGAAGGAGTTCACCGAGAACGACCAAAATGAAGGTTCTTACTGGATCTGAGCTCTATCACTTTCTGCCTTCCTGCATTTGGTCATTTTATGTATGGTTTTTGGGCTAGGGTTTCAAGTTTTTGGATCAGCTTTTGTTTACAAAAATGCTACGTCCCGAGTTTAAATTGCGTTTTGTTTTTTTTCCCCCTCCCTGTTATGTTTTTTTTTTTGGTTGATTAGAAACATTCTTTATCCCATTTGGCCTCAACAGCAACTAATCAACTTTCTTGTTATTTGAACATATTACGGAATTAACAATATGTTTAATTCCAGTGGCCAATGTGGTCCATTTTGGCTTTTGAGAAATTTGGCAAAACAATGCTAAAAAATTAGTTTTATTAATCTTGTTAGTTTTAAGAAGATAGAATTCCAAGTTTTAAAAAGGTTGAAGATGGTTTTGTTTCATTAGTCTGTGTAGATTTTTGGAATCTTAAGCTGCGAATCTTATATTTATGCTGCAATCTGTCGTTCCCTCTCTCTCTCTCTCACCCTCTTTTTCTCTACTCGCCATTTGCATCCGAGAATTGAGTTTCTTGTATTTTCTCTTGCAGCTACTGATCCTGGTGGCTTCAACAATAGTGTTGCCGAACAGCAGGTTGGTAGTCCCATTTCAAAAATGTAATTTTCATTGCCCATGCGATGTTAAAAGTAACAAGAGGTGTTTGTTAATAGATCTGATTTGGTTATAATGTCAGTTTCGGGCCTAGATAAATGAGTTTTGCTTTTGCTTTGAACCTGGCAAGGAAAGAAATTAAGCCTATTACTGAGTATTTAAGATTCACTGAGGCTTTGTCACACGGTTGGCATGGGATGATATGCATTTTCATTTTGAAGGAAAACAAGGTTTTTCTGGTTAGATAATACTTTATCATAGTGTCAAAAGATGGATGGTTGGGGCATTATATTATATAAATTTTGGTTAGCATTGTGATTCACTGAGGTTCTAATTTTTTTTTTATTAATTCAAAATGTGAGAAATTTATTTTTTGCGTACGACATTGTATTTAACAGTTAAGGTCTATATCTAAACTTAATTTCAAGAAAAAAAGGTCTATATCTAAACTTGCATCATATCTTTGTGGCCCATAAGCACTTTGAAAGACATTTAAACTGATGCATCTCCAGGGAAATGATTCTGAAAGTTTGAACAGAAAAATAGGAAGTAATTAGTTTATTAGTAGATCTTTTAGTCCATGCTTATGTTTGTAAAAGTTAATAACTAAGCCTACATTTTCTTAAAATTTCAAGTCAAAGCTAGAAAGAAGCAATGTGATAAAGAGCTTTTAAAGTGAAATGTGGACCCTTGAGGAGTTGACGAATAGGCTTGGAGGTTTTATCTGTAGGCTTCAGCAGTGCCTCTTCTTGGCATGCTAAGCTAATAATATCTTACCCTGAAGCAGTTGGCTAGTTAAGAGGAGGGGGTCCTTGTCTGGTCATAAAAGCATACATATTTCTGAAAAATGTCTGTTTGTCTCATGGAACCCATGCTTAGGAATCTGAAGAATCCTTAAGACAACTGTCCTGTGGTTAAAGTGCTGTTTATTTGGATTAACTTGTAGTTTGCGGACAGCATGTCTATTATAGGCATCAATTGCAAGCAAGATAGGCCTGATAATGGATTAGTTCCTTGGGTTAGGTCGGAGTGGATCATGAAGCATTTTATGGTGACCAAGTTTCAAATAATCTGTACACAAGGATTTTCGTTTTAAGATTCATCATTTCATCTAAAAGATCTTTACAACTTAATGCTAATTTTCATATTTGTCTTACCAGGCTGTTCTAGAAACTGTTGCAAGAGTTAAAACCAAGAAAAATGAGACCAAGGAGGAGAAGTATGTGATTATCTTATATGTTTATTCTCTTTTTTGTGATTTTTTGAGAGGTTATTGTTAAAGTCCGGCTTCATAAATGTAAGAGCTACGAACAAAATCTTGCTCTTTGTAGGTCATTTCAGTTTCATCATGTCTTCAATTTGGATAATGAGAATCGTGTGGAAGATACACCGACATTGATAGATCGAAAGGTATATTTGGAGAACATAATAGAAAATTTCTATCTTGTTTATAACATAGATTTCTTGTTGTTTTGGACCTGTTAACATTTTGTTTCAACAGCATTGTTTCATGAGAAACAGTTTATTTATTTAAGCTGATCATATATTTGTCCTGTGGGCATGTTCAGGACAATGTTTTTATCATATCAAATCCAAAATCTAAATATCCAGTGCTGCAGTTAGACTTAAGGTTAGTTTCTTTAAATTTTACGCGTGTTTATACACTTCACTGTTTTTAAGGTTCTTGCACATTATTGTCAACTTTATCCAGTTCCAACCCCCAAAAATTCTAAAATTGCAGATTGATCTCGGATTTGGTGGTTGTCATTGTCTCAGCAACTTGTGGTGGAATTGCCTTTGCTTGTGCTGGGCAACCGGTTGGAAATTTTTTGTCCCTTTACGTGTTTCATAGAATCTAGAAGTTTTTGTTAGCATTGAATTTTCTCAGAAGTTATGAAATGCTATAAGTTTTAATTAAAGCTTTAGATGATTTAATTTTAGTTTATTTTCTAATTGAATGCTAATATCAAAATTTGTAGGTTATTACTGGATATTTGCTGGCAGGATCTGTTATTGGACCTGGTGGTTTAAGCTTTGTTAGTGAAATGGTGCAGGTATATTTCCTTTGCAACTGTGCTGACTGTTAGTTTTCTCTTGTTTCTTTTCCATGGTGTGGGGTTTATAATTTTAACATTTTTCTTTGTGGGTTAGAAATTAAACTTTTAAATTGAGTTTCAATTATTGTTTTAATGGCTTTGTTGGGAAGGAGTTTTCAATAGGTTCTTTTACTGTTATTTGGTTAAAATATGATTTCCTCTTTTCTCAAGATGCTGGCAATTCATATCTGATGGTAACATATTGAGAATGGGATCTGGAATGCTTTATGAAAGCTAAAGTGTTTATTCAGTGCTTGGGTGCTCCCGTGTTTAACCTTTGGTATAAAACTTTTCTTAGTCAAATTACAGTTTCACCCTTTATGCTTTGACCCTTTTAAAAAAATCTTGTAGTTTGTTTAATTACAGCTATCTGCTTTGATGATTCACTATGTTACTTCAGTGACGAACTTGAGTCTCACATGATTTTGACATTGTTTTCTTTTTGAAGATTTTATCTCAATCTTCCAAAATAAATGAAATTTAAGGTGTAACTTATATAATTTCAATACCTTGCAAAGGTTAATTTATTTTGTTGACGTGATTTATTAGAATGAATAAATAACAAAATTTTAACTTTGCAAAAAATGTCCTAAAGCCATGCAAGACTTATGCAGTCATGTTATAGAATCATTTCTCTGTCTAATAATGAAAGCTCAAGGTAGATAAATGTGAGAAAACAAACTACAAAACTTTATTTTAAAATTGGTAAAACCAAGAGAGATGACACAGTGACTTGCCAATTTTATGTACTAGGTATGCAAGTCTGTCCTTTTTGCCTCAGAATACTTGGGGTTGTGCTTGATATCTGCATCTGTTTGTGAGTTATATTATTTTATGCCAATATTAAGAGATCTTTGCTCATTTTGTGGTTCTTTTGGACCTCAATTTGAAGTAATTTCTGTTGTTTCCAAGTGTTTACTGGTCTTTTCCTTTTACTGGATTTATGTCTGGGATTAACTTCGTATTTGCTCTGGTTTCTTGCATATGTATGGGAATTAAAGATATAGACATTGATAGACTTTTTTGACAGATGATTACATCATTTTTATGTAGTACAGGTCGAAACAGTGGCTCAGTTTGGTGTGATCTTTCTTCTTTTTGCTTTGGGCCTGGAATTTTCAGCAACAAAGGTTTGCTTATATTTCCTGGTTCCTTTAGTTTGATATTTTTACCTCTTCCATTCCATAACTTGGTTGCATAATTCTTTTTATTCTTTATTGCTGCAGCTTCGTGTCGTACGTGCAGTTGCTATTCTTGGAGGTCTTCTCCAGATTTTTCTGTTCATGTGCTTGTGTGGAATAACAGCGTCAGTATGTTCATATCACATCTGTATTTGTTTTTGATTCTTAAAACTGCATCATGTGTCAATTTTCCCGCCTGTCTTACCTAAAGAGTTCCAGTTGATATCTCTGGTTACAATCCTTATGTTGGCATTTTCCTATTTTCAAGGTTCTTCCTGGGCTATTATTTATCTTTTTTCACATGCCAGAAACAACATTACAGCGTCAACATGATTTGGATGTTCATAAAATTTAATGAATGCATATTGCTTCAGGGGAATGACTATTATCAGAGAGTTGGTTTAACCTACAGCAGTATGCCAAGTCTGTTTTAGTAACCTTTTGAGTATATGATAGATTTGCTACTTGTCCATGTCCATGAATTATTTCATTTACATGTAAAATTTCAGCAGTGAGATTGTGATCTCAGTAATGTTGCAAGGTTGAAGAATGTAACCAGTTGTTGGCTTCCATATTATCTACTACTGTGCTATCGATTGCATATGGCCAGACTAATAAGAATATAATACTTGTAAGATTGGCAAAGGCCTCCTTGTGCTAAGTCCCTTAAACTTTTTCCTATTAGTTATTGTTAGGTAGGCTTGAGATGTGTAGATGACAATTGCTGCAGTAAAAATGCCATACTTTTTTTGTCTCTACCATAATTTAATTAATTAGTGACTACTTCTTGCAAGTACAAGTGCACCATCCTGAATTATTGAGAGCGAAAATGGAAGTATTGTCGGACTTCTAAATAATTTGTTATGATAAAATGT